TTGGGTTGGGTTTCTTTTGCTCTTGACCCAGGAAACAATATGGCTGGTTCTGACAAAGGCACTTCTGGCTTCTACCTTTTGAAACGCCTGCCATGAACCCCTTCCACCAATGAGTGGAATGGAATTTTGTCACTTAAACTCAGGGACTAGTCACCTGTGGGGTGGGGTGGGGTGGGGTAGAGGATGACCTCTGGGTAAGGTGTGGGGACTTGTGTTCATGGCTTGGATGGGGTTGCAGCTTCTGGAACGATGGAGAACCCAACAATCATGGGGACGAAGACTGCATGGAGCTGATTGACGAAGGCTGGAATGACAACAAGTGTAATGTGAAGAACTTCTGGATCTGTGAGAAGCCCGCAGCCCACTGCCCCAACCTCTATTTGTCTCCCCCTCCACAGAGCTTGAACAACTGTTCTTGCCCTCAGCCCTAAATCTCCTTTTCATCTTTGGTCAATTAGAGGACTTGGTGGTCTGGAGAAAATCTCCAAGACACCTTCCTTTTGAGGCCCATCCCCCTGCCTCAACTAATGACCACAGCTCGGGCTATGAATACAGATGTTACCCTATTTCTTGTCTAGTGTTTAATAAAGTCACACACTGTGGTATGAGGGAGGCCCTTGTTATGTTTGGTTCAACTACTTTATTCCTTCTTTTGATTGCAATAATTCCTGCTTTATATCTTTTTGGAGATATTAGCCTTTATTTTTTTTATCATTGTAAAAATATAGATAACATATTTGCTACTTCAACATTTTACAGTGATGTTATTTACATTAAATCATGTTGTGCAACCATCACCCACAATTGTTACCAAATGTCCCATTACCATAAACAGAAACCTACTACTTCCTAAAAAATGACTCCTCCTTTTCCTCTTCCTCCTGGTTGTTGTCGTGGTTGTTAAGTGCCGTCGAGTTGTTTCCGACTCATAGCGACCCCATGCACAGCACAACGAAACACTGCCCGATCCCGCGTCAGCCCCACAATCCCTGCTATACTTGA